TGACTACCTTGATAAAGAAGAACCTTATCAACATTGAAAAGAATGCTGCACTGGGTCCTTGCAGTCATTGTTTGTTTGGTAAGCAACATAGAGTATCATTTAGTTCTACTTCAGCTAAAAGATCAGAGTTGTTAAGTTTGGTACACTCCGACGTCTGTGGTCCTTTCGAGGTGGAATCAATCGGTGGAAGCAGATATTTTCTGACTTTTATTGATGATGCTTCTCGGAAAGTGTGGGTGTATTTCCTGATTACAAAGGATCAGGTGTTCGAGAGCTTCAAGACATTTCACGTCTTGGTGGAACGAGAAATAGGAAAGAAGCTGAAATGTATACGATCTGATAATGGAGGCGAGTACACATCCAAGGCGTTCGATGCATATTGCAGAGAATATGGCATTCGACATGAGAAGTCAGTACCACGCACCCCTCAGCACAACGGCGTTGCTGAAAGAATGAACCGGACTATCATGGAGCGTGTCCGGAGCATGCTAAATATGGCTAAACTTCCGAAGTCATTCTAGGAAGAAGCAGTCAACACCGCATGCTATCTTATCAACCGATCACCTTCAGTACCACTGAACTTTGAAGTTCCAGAGAGGCTATGGACAGGTAAGGATCCTACATACTCACATCTTAGAGTATTTGGTTGTTCATCATATGCACATGTATCCAAAGAGCTCAGGCAGAAGCTCGATGCAAGAACTATCCCATGCATTTTGTTGGCTATGGAAATGAAGAGTTCGGATACAGATTATGGGATCCTAAGGAGAAAAAGGTGTTCAGAAGTCGGGACGTTGTGTTCCACGAAGATTTGACAATAGAAGACATTGAAAAACCCACAATGTCTCGGAAGTCAAATGATGGTGCTAGAGTTTCAAATGAAGCACCAGAAGAAGACAAAGTGCAGGAAGATAACTCAGAAGCAGAAGAAGACGAGGAGACAGAAGATAGTGCAGAGCAAAGGGAGACACAATCCACCCCGCCAGACACAGATGATGGTAGCTCTTCTCAGATGGTTCCTACTGTTCGTAGATCTGAACGAGGGCATATACCATCGACAAGGTACACATCATCTGAATATCTTTTGTTAACTGAAGATGGAGAATCGGAGAGTTTTCAAGAAGTTGTATCTCATAAGGATAAAGAAAAATGGCTAATAGCAATGCAGGATGAGTTAGAATCTCTGCAGAAAAATCAAACCTATGAGATCGTAGAACTTCCTAAAGGGAAGAAAGCTCTGAGGAACAAATGGGTGTTCAAGCTGAAGAAGGATGCAAGCGGACAAGTGGTGAAACACAAAGCTCGGTTGGTTGTCAAAGGGTTCCAGCAAAAGAAAGGAATTGGCTTTGATGAGATCTTTGCACCAGTTGTCAAGATGACCTCAATCCGAGTTATACTTGGCTTGGCAGCAAGTATGAACTTAGAGCTTGAACAGATGGATGTGAAGACAGCATTTCTTCACGGAGATTTGAAAGAAGAAATCTATATGCGGCAGCCGGAAGGTTTTGAGAACTCAAATGATAACTTTGTGTGTAAGTTATCTAAAAGTCTGTATGGCTTGAAGCAGGCACCAAGGCAGTGGAATAAGAAGTTTGACTCATGCATGAAGAGTCAAGGCTACAAGAAGACTACTGCAGATGAGTGTGTATACATCAAGAAACTTCCAGACGGTACCTTCATTGCTCTTCTACTATATGTAGACGACATGTTAATCGTTGGGAAAGATGCAGTGAAGATAAACCAGCTGAAGATAGAACTCTCTAAGTCTTTTGATATGAAAGACTTAGGACCGGCTCAACAGATTCTTGGGATGCAGATCACTCGAGATAGGAAGAATCGCAAGTTATGGCTATCTCAGGAGAAGTACATTGAACGAGTACTTGAGAGATTCAACATGAATGATGCCAAACCAGTAAGTGTTCCACTTGCGAATCACTTCAAGTTGAGCAAAAGAACATACCCTACATCCAAGGAAGAGATCGGGGAGATGTCAACAGTTCCATATTCTTCAGCAGTTGGGAGTTTGATGTACGCCATGATATGCACAAGACCAGACATTGCACAAGCAGTGGGTACAGTGAGTCGTTTTCTCTCTAACCCCGGGAAGGAGCATTGGGAGGCAGTCAAATGGATTCTCAGGTACTTGAAAGGTACCACGAAGTTATGTCTTTGTTACGGAGGAGCTGATCCAGTCTTGGAAGGCTACACAGATGCTGATATGGCCGGAGACACTGATAGTAGAAAGTCTACTTCAGGATATATCTACACTTTTGCAGGGGGAGCCGTTTCTTGGCAATCAAGATTGCAGAAGTGTGTTGCTTTATCTACAACAGAAGCAAAATACATTGCTGCCACTGAAGCAGGTAAGGAAATGTTGTGGCTAAAGCGTTTTCTCCAAGAACTTGGGATCAAGCAGAAAGAATACAAGGTACATTGTGACAGTCAGAGTGCTCTAGACTTGAGCAAGAACTCTATGTACCATTCTCGTACAAAGCATATTGACATTCGGTATCACTAGATATGGGAGACGATTGATCAACAACTGTTGAGACTAGTGAAGATCAATACAAAGGAGAATCCATCAGACATGCTGACGAAGGTGGTAACACGGGATAAGCTAGAGCTGTGCAGAGACATAGTCGGGATGCTTGTTTTGAATATGCCTGGAAGGGGAGAATTGAAGAATTCAATTTCCAGGTCATATCCAAGTACAAGCAAATTGAAGAATCCAATTCTTAATTTCCCTAAAGTTTCCTTCATGTGCAAGAATGACAAAGGGAGCTTCCATACACCTAGGAGTGACCTTCCTTCCAACCACCATTGAAGCTTCCTTCCACCTTCATACTACCTTGTTTTGGTACTATAAATAGAGAGCTTGGAGAGTCTTTCTATCATCAAGTAAATTAGAATAGATCATCATAGCACAACCAAGAAGAGTTGTGAATATCCTTGAGAGATATGTGAGGTGTTGTTTTTGAGAGTTTTTTAGTTAGAGCTTGTATGTCTCTTCTTTCTATTCTTGAAAGTAATAGAAGTGTTTTTCTCTCATATTAGCACGATCCTGTTATTCCCAACAGGTCGATGGCGAGGAAGATGCTTAGAACCGCAACAGCACCTTTCCGGTTGTTGGCACTTTTCTCAAGATAGAATAGTGATGTTTCCTGTGTCCAGGGATCTCATGGCGTCTATCTGGCATCCCGGCAAATGAATAACTATCATATTGTTGACATGGAACGTGTTCTAGATGGCGGACCGTGGCTATACGAACAAAATCTGCTCATTTTCAGGGCGCTGAAATCGGGGGGATGTCCCTCTTAGGGTTCCCTTGAATGAGGCTGAATTTTGGGTGCATGTACATAACATAACATATGATTATATGAGTTTTGGAGTTGCTAGGAGAGTTGGTAATTTCGGTAAAGTTATTAGTTTTGCCTGTGGTATTATTGGCCATGCCAACAAGTTTTGTCCTTTGGCTTACGAGTGTGAGAAGAAAGTGATGGCTAAACTTTTTGGGGTTAGTCTCTATAATGGAGGGGAGGGAAAGCTCAAATGATGAAGGCTAACAAATGGCTCGTGTGAGAAGACTTAAGCGGAAGCTCTCTGAACCATCTAGGAAGGAAACAGAGTATCACAAGTGTCAGAGATGAGGCCACTGGACCTGTGGGGGTCAAGGAGAGCAGAACCGAAGCTACATGAGGACTTTCAAGGCAGCAGAAACGAAGAACAATGTGGGAGGAAGAGCACGGAAGGTGTAGGGGACAATATGGCCTTGGATTTGTCAAAAAACAAAGAGGGGGCAGGTCTGGACCTCTAGGCCCACCGAGACACTAGAGGATGGTCCAGGATAGCAGAGGCCGGAGGGTGTTTGTCAGTTGTGGGAGGATGCAGCTGGGTTTCCACTACTTTTATTTTCTTTGTCATTGTTTATTTTTACTTCAGTCACACTCCTGCATTAGGTTGAGGCGATGAGGAGTCTATTCTTACCACGTTAAGCTCATTTAGACCCACTACAAGATCAGTGAGCCATATTGCTTTATCTAGGGTGATTGACTCTAAGTGTGGTTCGAGGGTTGGTGGTTGGAAGGGATCATTTTATCTTCTTGTTCTCTTGCTAATGCTTTAATATCAGTTTAGGTCGCCTTGTTCCCAATAAAAACTTGGGAATGGTATTCACCAATCTTTTTTATTACAAAAATGAAGTTCCAAAATTATTTCTGAATTTTTGAAACGGCAAAATGTGAGCTGTTTAGAGATCCCGTACTAAGTACTTAGTTTAAACTTTAAAACATATTATAAATATTAAATATAAAGATTATGTAAGTAAATGTTAAATACATTGCCATGTCCATAATATATTATACTACGTATTGCACAAGTTAAAAAAAATAAATTGACATAAAATGCATGGTTAGTCCAAACAAACAAACATTATCATGCATCCTTTGTCCACGACTCCAAGCTTTTGGTGTACGAAGCGAAGTTACAATAGGCAAAGCTATCACAAGTGTAGGTCCCATAAGGTCCGGTTTTTTTAATTCCCAGGTCCAGCTTCCTCACGGTATGCAGTTCTAGGTGATATAAAAACAAACCGGTGGTATATCAACAAAGTAGGAGTTCCCCATCTCGGATTCTCAACAGCTTTACTTCCCGGCGAGCAGATATACCCTTAAAGTAAGGAGAAACCCAGTGAAAGCTGACACTATACCTCATAACCCAATGCCACTCTATAGGGTCTTCAAGCATCCAAATGCGTATGCATTTCCAGGATTGATGACAAAACACCAGCTTGTTCTCCATTTCTAGGAGTTGTATATTTTCAGTGTCATAAAGTTGACAACTATTGCTATTAGTACATGTGCGGCCAGGATGGGGCATAACTCGCAACTCTTCAGTTTCTGTGTCGAAAGTGAGTACAGATGCTGCGCAGACAGAAGGATAAGACTGTGTCTTGATTGCTTTGGTCTTGTTAACAACCCAGTAAATAATGTCATTCAAGAAGGACCTTTAGCACGCTGAGTGTGGGCTTAGTGTACACATTTTCCATCATCTTATCCTTCTTTTTGGCACCTTCATCAAGAAAATATAATTGCATTTTGCCCGCACCTAAAAACGGACATACGTATTGTACAAGGATAATTGGAGAAGCTCTTGAGAGTTGGGTTTGAGAGAATAGAGGAGAGTGGACGATAATTTCCTTCCATTCTTTGGAGACCCGTTGACATTTGAGAACTTCATCTGCCGGAAGCCTACTCAGTATTTCGAAAACAATTTCTTTAGGAATATATCCAACTTTCCTCCTCTGAATATAGTCATTCCATGTGTGAAAAATCCATTCTATGCATTCCAATACCATCCTACATAAATGGAGCAAAGACTTGTTGAGCTTTCTTTATAAAATTACAATCAATCAATTGAACATTTTATTAAAAATGTTTCAATTCCAACTTCCAAGTATAGAACGAAGAGGAATGCAAAAGTGGACAGGATATCACACGAATTCACAACACATAAAAAAACGTGGGGGCCAAAATGTACCATCTGACAAGAGTAACTTAATTTCTAAACCAAAGTATGTGCATGGCTAACTGATGAAAATATATTTCGACCACAACATTACGTACAAGGCACTAAACAAGTTTACCATGTGATCATAAATTCGAAGGCCATTAGTAGATGTCGAAAAATCATTTGCAAAGGGTTTAGAAGCACGACGATGCAAATCATGCAATTCAAAAATAAAAAATAAAAAATTGTTTTATGACGTTACGTTACATAGGAGCATTATGTTTGTATTCCCCGGTAGGGCATATAAGGCCATTCTTGAAAAATACCACACATTATGGCGTTATATAGCCATATTAAAGCCTAGTACTGGGAAAGTGGGAAATGTAGCAGTAAGTATGATGACCGTAAGTTATCCTATTTATGTAAAAAAAAAAATAGTACTTTTGTTTTGGAATTTTACGATGTTCGTAAATTTTCCCAATATACTGTTGCATTTGTAGTAATATGTCACATTTTGCTTCAAATATTTCTAAACCATGATGTCGAATTTCTATGACGCAAGAACTTATAGTAGTGTTAGGTATTATCCATACTTCTGTTTTCATCCCGAATCCCCCGAACAAAAAACTTAGATTTAGCCCTATTTAGCCCGATGCAAATCATGCAATTCAAAAAAAAAAAAAATTGTTTTATGACGTTACATAGGAGCATTATGTTTGTATTCCACCACAAAAAAACACGCGTTTAATCACGGACGGTAGTCACGGATTTGGTCCGTGACTAGTCTAGTCACGGACTAGTCACGGAAATTTAAAAAAAAAAATTAGTCACGGCTTTGACCGTGACTAAGCCCGTGACTACACTTAGTCACGGTCGTGGACCGTGACTAACATCCTCCGATTGGCCCGTTTCATTTTCCGGCCTGGCTTGTTTTACTCCGGCGACTTAGTCACGGCCATATCCGTGACTAAAACCGTGACTACGATGAAAAATTTAATTTTTATCTCCCATAAATTAAATCGTAACGGTATTATCTACGAACAAATGTAGTCACGGCCATGGCCGTGACTATTTCCGTGACAACTTTGATTAACACGTCATTTACACGTCATTAACACGGGTTGGACGCGTAATGGACACGGTTTTGCTTAGTGACGGACAAATCCGTGACTAAGTCCGTGACTAATTTTTTATATATGCAGGAGCAGCTTATTCAACAGAACCACGCCAATTCATTCCCAGTATATACAGTATCTGTTTGAAAGATCGAAAGATGTAGTCTATTTTCTATCATTATCTCCATTTATGCAGTTAAGGTATGTTATCTGAATTATTATTTTTATTTAGAATTAGTTGGTTCAATTTAAATTATTAAAACTATTAAATTAGTGAGGTTGTTAATTAATTAACAACATATTCAACTGTAAGCGTAGTAATGTCATAAAATTAGTTAAACTGTTAGGTTTATAAAATAATTTAATTAAAATTAGTTAGCTAAACGTAATTTTAATCGTAATGATGTTTATGTTAAGTGAAATTAGTTAGTTAAACGTACGCTAGTAATGTGTTAATTAAGTGTATTGTGAATTGTTATTGTAATTGTGTATTATTTATTAATTCAAATGACTTTATATACATGTTCAAATTATTGGGTTAATTTGGTCATATTATTTAATTTAGTGAATTGTTAATTGTGTAGTACTAATAAGATTAAATGTCATTAACGTAATAATTTTGTGTAGGTTTAAATGTAGGTTTACAAAAATAATTTAATTAAAATTCGTTAGCTAAATGTAGGTTTAAACGTAGCTAGTGATGTGTTAATTATGTTAAATTAGTTAGCTAAACGTAGGTTTAAACGTAGTGATGCATTAAAAGGGGACGGAATGAACTAGTTAAATTTAGTTACATTTAACTAAATGAATTAGTTAAATTTAGTTAAACGTATGTTTAATTTAAATGTAGTGTTAAATTACTTAAATTTTTTGTAATATTAGTTAAATTTAAGTATTAGGTAATTACTTATATTTTGTGCATTATTGTTTTGAATTGTGTGCATTTCATTTAATTTAGTGAAAATTAGTTAGTTGATTATTTAGTGAAATAAATTACTTAAAATTACTTAGTATTATTGTTACATTAATAACCTTCATTTTGAACGTGTATACTTTTTTATTATAATATTCAGGCATAATGTATAAACAAAATAGAAGTTGGATGTATGATAAAGATGCGGTATTGTACGGAATGCAATCAAATTTTCTCGAGGGAGTCGGGGAATTTATTGAATTTGCACTTGAACATCCGGCTTATATGAGTGGTGATAAAATAAGATGTCCAAGTTCAAAGTGTAAAAATCTCAAATTTAAAGACCCACACGAAGTTGGGTATCATTTGTACGCGGTCGGTTTTGTTCCCAATTATTATAATTGGACTTCTCACGGCGAACCTTTGGATCCATCTGTTATACCACAAACGGTAGGTTCGTCTCGTTACGTCCCTCCAGAGATGAGTGCGTGGGGAGACCGTGCTGAAATGAGGTGGGACCAACAAATGGTATATGACGCATACGGTGTACCGATGTCTCAGTTCAACCCCCCACAACCACCTAACGACCCCCCTGAAGCCTCAACCTCGTATCAACCAGATGCGGATGAAAATCCGACATTTTATCAACCTTATGTGGATGAAGGTTTGGCTGAGAGATTTCAGGATGTTCTAAAAGCTGCCGACCAACCTCTGTATGCTGATTGTGAGGGATACTCTCAGCTATCCGCCGTTACTGAGTTCATGAACATAAAAGCCGAATACAGTCTCCCTGAAACTTGCATGAATAGAGTCTTGCAGTCAGTAGGAGGGATGCTACCGCGAGATCATACCCTTCCCAATTCATATTACCACATGAAGCAGTTAATGTCTAAGTTGGGGCTACCTTGTGTTGAAATTGATGTGTGCCCGGAAGGATGTATGTTGTTCTGGAAGGAGGATGAGACACTTGAATTCTGCAAGTTCTGTGGTGGAGATAGATACAAACCTGTTCGTCAAGGTAAAAAGAAACCACGACATAGGTCGGCACTGTCTAAATTGTATTACCTCCCAATAGCTCCTCGACTGCAGAGGATGTACGCTTCGACTGCTACTGCGAAACTGGTGTGTAGCATATAATGGGCACACAACTATTTTTTTTTACCCAAGGAAGTAGGGTGTCGAACCACAGAGAAGCGGGAAATAAAATAATTAAGCACAAACTAAGGATTAAAGTTAGGAATGCGTTTCTTTTGATTTTTTTGGTTGCTTGGAAAAGTAATAAAATAAAAGTGATTGGTATGAGAGATTTTTAACAACACCAAGTTCAACAAATAGCAAGTAGGGGTAGAAATTGGTAACTAATTGTTCAATGTTTAATTGAAAGAAATAATTGCTAATTTTATTCGTAGATAGATTGTGAGAAGTTGTGGATAAATATTTTAGGACCCAACACAAGTCATCTAAAATAAGTAACTAGTCAACATTTCCCAGTGATGGCCAAAACGAGACTAGTTGTTTAAGTGCAACGACAACCTTAATTATTAACTATATTATTTACCCAACCCCGTGGTGTAAATAATATAATTAAATAATTAAATTCCCCCGTAAAACTTCAATCCGGGACAAGGTAAAAGAAGTTTAACGGTGTGTTCAGAAAGTGTTCATTTGTGTATTTAACAAACAATATGTTTATGATTGAGTACTCATAATATATATCACAAACATAACTTAATTAATTTTCTGGACACAACAATCTAAATAGAACAAACTTAACAATTAAAATCAATACAAATTAAAACATGATAAGAACAATTAATTAACCAATTTCTAGCCCCAAGTTTATTTAGCTATACATGTTTGGAAGCTTAGAAATAGATGAATTCATGATTAAAGTACAAGATTTAAAGAGATAAGGAAGATCAAACTTGTGATAGATGATAATCCTTGGAGCTTGGTGCTAATCTTGACTTTAATCTTGATTGAGAAAGTGATTAATTGATGTTGAAGATTGGTTGATGATTTGGAGATGAAGAATGAAGAGAGAAGGAGGAGGAAATGATTCTGGGAGGTGTAGAGAGAAGTTGGTTCGAGATTTTGTGTGGAAGGAGATGGATTAGGCTATATAATGATAAGGTGATTAATGATTAAGTGCTGGAATTTACGGGGCATAGAGTTTATCTACAACAAAGCGCAATAAAATTCTAATAGGGCGCAGCAGCCCAGTAGACGAAGTGCTTGAGCCTATAGTAGAGGTCGCGGGTTCGATTCTTGCTTCGGACTTTTGTTCCTTTTTTCTTTGATGCGGTCACAAGTAATATATAAACCGCCGGCTGATTATATATAACATGCACAACTTAGCACACTAGTTCTATTAGGCAATCTTCTATCCTTTGTTCAGGGATCGAATCCCAGCTCCACCATTTTTATTTTTTGCTTCTTTTCTTCAATTTACTCCTTATTTGTTAGGAAGGAAATTCCACTTTTATTGACCTCCAGCTTGAACTTTTATTTTCTTCTTTTGTTCACACTCAAATGTATCCAAATAGCATCAAAAGTACCTGAAAATACAAAATACCCGTATAGGACTGCACTAATACAATCTAACGACAAATAATAAAAATATGTACAAAAGTAGAACTTTAATAACTAAAATTAACAACAAACTAAGTTTAAAAAGTGTGTAAAATATAAGTACATCAAATCCCCCACACTTAGGCTTTTGCTTGTCCTCAAGCAAAACAAACAACAAACACAAAATTATACACAATTTGGTAAAATTTACAAACATAACTAAACAAATCACACATACATCTCTAATGTCCACTAAACGGTCCAATACCCTGAAATGTCACAAAATAACTCAATGAGAGTAAACCGAGTATTATTGCCTATCACTAAGATTTTCAAATCAAACTTTTTACATAAACACCTATAGATCTGAATTAGTTCGGGTTATGCAGAACAAGTTTCTCCAATTAACTTAATTCAAAAAATGACACAAATAGATCAATTAGGACTTTTCGGGTTTTGGCAAGGTTAATGATGTGGATAGTGGAAAGAAAGGTTTGGTGTAGGGATTTACAAAGAGAGTTAGATTGCACTTATACTGAGTGGATAATCACATGAATTTACAAGAACTTGGAGCATACAAAACAATGAGAAATATAAACATGAAAAGGAAGTACAAATGGGGTTTTATAGAAGAAATCACAACAAGAAATTAATGTGCCTCCTTGTTTTTGTTTTTTTTTTTAACTTTTTTTTTCTTTTTTATCTTTTTTTTTGTTTTTTTTTTCTTTTTGTTTTTTAACTTTTTTTTTAAGAAGGCACACACTAAATATTATAATGAAAAACTAACCCCAAAATTTACAAACAAATATGTACATCATTAATATGACACTTAACAGAAGCTCCATTTTATCCACTCTCAAGTAACAATACAAACTACTCTAGGGTTGAAACAAAAATGACTTGGGTAGGATTTCACAAGGTTATGTATTTACAAGGTCACAAGAAAAATTAGTAACAAGTGAAATAAGTTATTTTACACTTGTACACTGAAAAGGCTCAAACAGGGTTACTAGGGAAAGTGTTATTTATTTACAAAGGGATAGTGTTTGGCTTGATGGGTAAACAAAGATGGCCTAAATCATTTCTACTCTGTCAGGTTCAAATAAAATTTTCAAGGAGAATAAATGTATAAACATCTTAAACTGCATAAACTTTCACTAATTCAACTATTAAACCAATAAATTGGAAAAATAAAATCTAAGGTGTTTAATGTTAAATTGTTAAAAAGAATCAAGTTCAAAGCTCATACTAAGTTACTCTCAAAAAAATTACAGTGACACTTCTCAAACTCAAACCACATTTCATCAAAAGAGGTGAATGAATAATTTAAAAAGTTATGGAGGTAACTAGTAACAAAAAGTGTAAACTAATGTGTTGCTGGTCTATTGTTGCATTTTGGACAAGAATGGTCTTTATTCACAAGAAAACACACAAAATAAAAATAAAACAAAATCACACAAGCACACAAGGAAAAAATATTCACACAAGAAATCAGGGTCGAACTACCCACTCCCCCACACTTAAAATTTGCACTGTCCTCAGTGGAAAAGAAATTAAAGGAGTGTAAAGAAAACTTCCCTGAAGTGCGGCCGAATCTGGAATTGTTTATCCGCATGACGTTTGGAGATCCCTTTGAGCGGATGTGGCCCCTTTAGAGTCCAAAGAAATAAAGAAAACCTAGACTAATCTTTTTTTGTCTTTCTCTTTTTTTTTTTTTTTGTTTTTTTTTTTTTTGTGTTTATTTTTTTGTTTTTTTTTTTTGAGAAATTTACAAACTTGGGTTGCCTCCCAAGAAGTGCTCGTTTAAGGTCATTAGCTTGACCCATGCCTTTCATTCATATTCTGGATCAATGAGGCAATACACAGAAGTTGCCTCTTGTCTCTCACTTTGGGTGCTTTTCCTTTGATATTCAAGGATTGATCTTCAAGATTAAGCACTTCAAATTTAAGTGCTTTAGGCATTGGTAAAAATATGTTTTGCAACATTTCGAGACATAAATTCACCATTTCATTGGCTTGCTCATCTTCAATAGATTTGTGTATGGTGTACTCCATGGGATCTTTAGGAAGCCGATACGACTCATCAAATGTATTAGTAGTACAAGAGTCTATAACATCAGCATAGTAACCATCAAGGACACAAGGTGTATCCTTACTTAGCTCTTTTACATTGAATTCGATCTTATCATCCCCAATCTCAAGGATAAGGGTACCCTTCTTGACGTTTATAATTGCTCCTGCCGTAGCTAGAAAAGGTCTCCCGAGAATAACAGGAACTCGAGCATCTTCTTCCATATCCAAGACAACAAAGTCTCCTGGGATATAATACTTGTCAATTTTGATAGGAACATCTTCAAGAATGCCGATAGGATATTTGACAGATCGATCAGCCAATTGTAATGCCATTGTTGTTGGTTTGGGATCCCCCAAGTGTAGCTTTTGACATAGTGAATAAGGAATTAAGCTAACACTTGCACCAAGATCACAAAGAGCTTTGTTAACTTTGGATCCACCAATGGTACATGGAATTGAGAAGCTTCCAGGATCACGTAACTTGGGTGTGATTTTATTTTGGATGATGGCACTGCATTCTTGACTCATTGCAACAGTAGCTGGATTCTCCTTCTTCTTTGTGAGAATATCTTTGAGAAATTTAGCATATGAAGGAATTTCTGTGATGGCATCAAGCAAAGGAATTGAGATATCCAATTGCTTGATAACATTCAAAAATTTAGTTCTCCGCTCCTCCATATTAGCTTTCTTCAATCTGTTTGGATAAGGAACTGGGGGAATGTATTTCCTTATCAGACTTTCTCTTTGTTTCTTAGACCCTTCACAGTCATCAGATGATTTCGGCATGGTACCTACATCAAGTTCATTGTTATTGTTTCCACCTTTCTGTTGTTGCACGACCCCTTCCTCCAACACTTCATGTTCTTGTTCGTCACTAGAAAGGGGCAAGGATTGATGTTGCTTCCCACTCCGAGTAGTGACAACATTGATTTGCTCCCTCGGGTTTTCGGGGCAAGCAGGGAGCTTACCCGTCACCTTAGTTGATGATGTAGATGCTTGATTTGCAATTTGATTCTCAAGCATCCTATTGTGAGCCCGGAGTTGACCAAGTTCTTCAGTGATTTGTTTCAGGGTTTCAGCTTGAGATAGTTGGGACTTGAGAAGTTGGTCAACAATGTTTTCTAGGACGGGAGTTTGAGCTATTTCGGGAGTGGGTAGAAGTGGCTTTTGTTGCTGACTTGAAGGGTATGGAAGATTTTGAGTAGGTTTGTATTGTTGTTGGTTCACAACACCTTGGCCACCTCTGAATTGCTGTTGTTGATTTTGGAAACCGGGTGGTGCACTCCGATAAGATGGTTGTGGTTTAGCAGCTCCATTTTGATTGCTCCAGGAAAAACCGAGATGATTTCTTCCTTGAGGATTGAAATTACCAAATTGATTTTGTTGGGGCTGCGTATTGTAGTTGACATAGTCAACTTGTTCCATTGATCCCCATGGACAAGTGGACTGATTGTGTTGTCCACCGCAAGATTCACACATAAGAACGGGAACGGGAGCTGGAATTGATGCAGAGTTTTGCACAAGAGAGACTTGTGCCATCTTTTGGATCAGAGTCATAATGTTATCGACCTTTGTGGTTATGGCCGACATTTGATCAACTTCGTACATGCCTCCAACTTTTTGTGGAACAGATGATCGCTCAGAATACCATGTTGATCCATTTGATGAAATGCGTTCCATCAATTCTTCCGCCTCTTCAAGTTCTAGGCACATGAATGATCCATTTGCGGACGCGTCCACAAGTATCCGAGAATTTTCACTTAGGCCTTCATAGAAAGCTGTCATCAAGTGCCAGTTTTGGATGTTGTGATGTGGACATTGTCGCTGAAGATCTTTGAATCTTTCCCAAGCCTCATAGAGGGGCTCATTGGGATTTTGTTTGAAATTTTGAATCATTCTCCGGATTTTCGCCGTTTTAGATGGCGGAAAAAATCTTTTGAGAAATTCACCATGAAGTTGATCCCAAGTGGAGAAGTGATTGTCTGGAAAAGAGTCAAGCCAACTCTGAGCTCGATCCCGTAGAGAGAATGGGAATAGGCGTAATCTGACAGCATCAGATGGCACACCATTGATTTTAAAGGTGTTGCAAGCTCGAAGGAACTTTGTGATGTGATTATTTGGATCCTCCGTTGGCGCTCCGCCAAATCGATCATTTGAAACCATTTGGATGATAGCAGTCTTGATTTCAAATTGATTCATGTTAACCTCCGGTGGAATAACACTGTCATGCTCATTTACAGGAGGCGTAACATAATCATATAATGGTTTCCTGGTCCTCGTAGCCTGATCCACGATTTGTTGATTTGGTTCCTGCTCATTTACAACAATATCGTTTGACATTTTTTTTAGTTTTTTCTGTTCACGTATGTGCTTTTCAATGTCAGAGAAGAATAACAATTCACAATTTGTACCACGTGAACGTGTAAGCATAAGTAGAAGGGAATCGGGATTGGGAAAAGAGAGAAAGAGAGAGATGAAAAGAAAAGAAAAATTGCGGAATTAATTAATTAATTAAGGTTCGCATTTAGTCAATTGGTATAAACCGAATAAGACTAGTGAGCCCTTAAAGCAGTATTAATATATACAGTAATTCACCAGGATGCGGCAGGGCCGACAGATATGGTGATTTGAGAGGAAGAAAAAAAAAAATAACTACAGTAATAAATACAGTCTCCGCCAAGATGCAGCTGTGTCGACAGTCTGGGGATTATTAAGAAATAAAATAAAAAGTGCACGCCACCAACAAGCGGACACGGCCGACAAGCTTGGGGATGCAAAAAAAAAATGCAGAAATTAAATTGCTGAAATTAAAGTGCGCTAATTAAAGTGCAGAATTTAAAGTGCGATAATTAAAGTGCAGAAATTAAAGTGCGATAATTAAAGTGCAGAAATTAAAGTGTTGGTCCGACCATGTAGGCGGAGTATCCTTTAAATTATTATGTACAAGTAAACGGTCCGACCATATAGGCGGATTATCCGTTGAATTAATATGTACAAATTAGCGGTCCGACCATATAGGCGGATTATCCGTTGAATTAAAATGTGACAATATGTCCAATGGTCCAAATGTCCAGATATATGTTCAGTCAAAGTGTCCAACTCCGATGCTCAGATAAGGTAATTAATCATAGTTCAATTTTTTTTTTTTTTGAACTTTAATTAATCACTCGTATTTTTTTTTGTATTTTTTTTTTGAACCTGCAAAAGGAAACAAGATAACAACAAAATAATATACACACAATTTACAATAACTAAAACCAAAAGTTCATGTTTTTTTTTCAAAACCGCTTCCCCGGCAACGGCGCCAAGTTGGTGTGTAGCATATAATGGGCACACAACTATTTTTTTTTACCCAAGGAAGTAGGGTGTCGAACCACAGAGAAGCGGGAAATAAAATAATTAAGCACAAACTAAGGATTAAAGTTAGGAATGCGTTTCTTTTGATTTTTTTGGTTGCTTGGAAAAGTAATAAAATAAAAGTGATTGGTATGAGAGATTTTTAACAACACCAAGTTCAACAAATAGCAAGTAGGGGTAGAAATTGGTAACTAATTGTTCAATGTTTAATTGAAAGAAATAATTGCTAATTTTATTCGTAGATAGATTGTGAGAAGTTGTGGATAAATATTTTAGGACCCAACACAAGTCATCTAAAATAAGTAACTAGTCAACATTTCCCAGTGATGGCCAAAACGAGACTAGTTGTTTAAGTGCAACGACAACCTTAATTATTAACTATATTATTTACCCAACCCCGTGGTGTAAATAATATAATTAAATAATTAAATTCCCC